TGGTCGTAATATGCTTACTCCCGCAAAAGATACATTGTACAGTCATTTGGGGTGGTGAAGGACATTCTGTTACTAAATGACCTTGCTCCTTACAATTGCTATACTAGACATTGGAACGCATATTGGTTGATTTATGCCTTTTTTCTTTATCCTTGGCCAGATTCACAACCAATTCATCCATTTTTTTTGTCAATGTTAACAACAATGACTCATTGGGATCCCTTGATACCAATGCATTTGGCAATTCCTTCGTAGGTATTGATTTTTGATATACGGAATAAGGTGCATACGGGTGTGATGATGATGGTGGTATAGCCTGCAATAGAACGGCATCCACTATTCCAAGTGGAATTGTATCGTAATCATTCCTTCTCAGATAACTTTTCGATGCGTCATTCCAATTTGTTATTTGATAATCTCTTTGAGATGGAATCATCGTGGCTCCAACTATTAAGTTTTGGTCATAGTGACATTCCTCCCATACTTTTGCTCGCTCAAGAGATGATGCAATGGTGGCTAATTGCCTCCTTTACAAACATCTTCAATTTTGGTGGGTCTAGTCCATTAATCAATATGGACAACACAAACAATTTTGGCATTTGGTTATTTGGCCATTTTCGAAGTATATCTGCTACACGACCATAATATGACTGTATCGCTTCTCCTGGTACTATTTTGCTGTTTATTAATTTTTATCTAAGACATTCTTCAAAACCAATTGGTAAAAAATGGGCTAAAAATGTATTTTTCAATGCCTCCCAATTGATAAATTGTTCCATAGGTTGGCGGTTATACCACTCAAATGCTGTGTCCTTTAATGTTGTTGGTAGCCATCTTAACCAAATATCTTCAGTTCTGCCATTATTGGCTACACATGCCGTCAAGAATTGAGAAAAATGTTGATCTGGATCCATACCTAGTAAATCCCAAAAAATAGGTAATGGCACGAAGCTAGTCATTTGATCGCCCACTACACCCATTTGAACTGCAATCGGAACTGCTAGTCCTTCAAACGCCATTAAAGATCCCGGTGTTCCGCTCAATTCTTTATTAAAATAAAAACTGTCTCTTGTAAAAGTCTTTTTCGGACTTCCAAGCCTTCCCGATTGACTATTATTATCTCCAAATAATTTTACTAGTTGAATATGAGGTGAAAACGATGGATTTTGATATACTCTGAATTGGTCTTTATTGCCAAGTGATTTGTGCCAATCTTCAGAACCAGTCTTGTTAGAATAGGACATATCTCTAATTGGAAAAATACCCAATAGAATACCTAATTCCTCCGTGCCTTCCTCGCTTTTCGTTAACGGCTTCGAGAGGTATGCTGGACTATTAGCAGCACTTTCTGCGAGTGCTCTTGGTAATTTCTTTAACAGTATATACTTGTGAAATATTAGAGGTCGATCATCTTCTGGATACGATTGAATATGTCGACAGGCATGCAACCATGGCTTAATCCAACTTTGTCGATGCTTCTTTTTCAATTTGTGATCTTGCTCATTACGCACCAAATTTCTTGCTTGCGATCTGTCTGTTCTTTCCTTTAATTGCTTTATTCTCTTTGCTGTTAAATTCTCATTCTTAATAACCATACTCTTTCATTATTTCTACTGAGTTTGCTTCCTAATCTCCTTTACTGCTTCGGCAATTAATTCCTGACACTCAATAATGTTGTCAATCCCCGGCAGCAGTGCCAAAATGTGATTGTCGTTTTACTTATTCTGAAAGAAACCTCCCAGAATAAATCCGTATACAGGAATTTGAACACAAGGAAAGACCATGTATATGAGCTCCAATTGTTAGGATCACACAATTAACTGCTATTGCTGAATGCTTACCATACCGAAGAATACTTAACTTTTTTTCCTACTGTCCACTCTCTCATATCAATACGATAACAACCATGACATCGATTTCAATACCCTGTATAATTCACGAACACACAAGCATAACCCAAACCTTGGAATGAACAACTTCTAATCCACAAAATCTCATCGAGACAATTCCTTTGATTATAATTTCTCTCCACTAAACTTACAACCTTGCGATAAACAGTGACTAGAAACTTCCATACATCATCAATATTTCACAACAATTGATAAACAGTGATCCATAAACAACTTCATAAATCAAACATTGATTCATTAAATCGATTCTCTTTACTAGAATCAACACTAATACAAAAGAAATAAGAAAACTAAGAAGAAGAGATAGCACCAAGTTTATCCCCGGCTCAATACTATTGCAGTCTGGCCCTTTTTTTCCTCTCTCTCATCCTCCTTATACTACGCCGAGATACCAACTCCTATACTATGGATGATAACTACTTTTCCTAACTATTCATCCATTCTACCTGTTGAACCACCTTTTCAGCAGTTATCTATTCTTGTTTACACTATATATAAGGTATCTATATTCTGAAAATAACTACTTATTCTACACCTTTTTTACTCTTGTCAACACTTTTTTGATCTTCTTATTTTTTGTCAATAGCCATTCTAGTTTCACTATTATATTAATTTTGAGTGAATATCTATTTTTTTTTCAAGTGATATAAAAGTATATTGAACTTTTCTTTTTTAAAAATTTATATTATTGAAAAATATTTTTAGAATTATAATAAAAAATTAAAATAAGAATTTAAAATTATTTATAGATAGAAGATTTAGAAAAGCTTAATGAAGAAAAGTTATTCAATGAGACAAAAAAAGTAAAGGATTGATGAAAAATATAATTTCAAAAACAACAAAGATTAGATTTAAAATTGAATGAGCTTTTAAAATTTAAAATTTAATCTATTATAAAATATTTTTAAATATATGGATATATAAGTAAATAACTTAAATTTCAAATATTTTATCAATTTTAGTCAGAACATGAGTTGCATCATGTTCTCTATATATGAATCGAAACTCTACCAAAAAAGCCTCCAAATTATCTAGTATTAGATCTAGTTATTTAAAAAAAGACAAAAATCATGATAATATTGAACTTGAAAGAAGTGTATTAATGAATCTAACTTGAGATCTTGGAATTGGATAACTTTGAAATTCAATCATAAGTTGTATTTAATTGATAAATCCTTGAAACTTAGATCTTGTGCCATTAAACTTCTTAAGTAGGATAACTCTGGGTTTTCTAGTACTGAAAAGATGTTCCATTGTAGAGGAAGGGATATGATTTGGTGTACATATTAAAGCAACTTCAATCATATCTATATCTTTACTTCTTATCATTCTTGTTGCTCCTTGTCATGATAAACTGAGTTAATGCATTGCAAGCATCAACTCTTTTAATTGCTCTTATATTTCAGCCATTGCACTCTTTATTTCAACAAGCTCTGTCATGATAATATTTAAATAAAATAAAATAAAAATCTAATATTACTTAAGATAAGTAAAAGAGAGGACTTAAAAATAAAGAAAATACTAAAAATAATATTACTTTAGAAGAAGGTAATCCATAACTTCTAATATACTTATATCTTATTAAGAAAAAAAGATATTCTATTCTTAATCAAGAGAAAACAAAGCTCTAATATTGTTAGTATGCTCTTATCAATCTATCAAAGACATAAACTAGAACAGATGCATAAACCTCAGAAATCTATGTCGAAAGAAAATTGACAAAATAGAAATAAAATAATATGTATATTAAAAAGAAACTAAAATAGATATTGCCAAAAGACAAGAAAACTAGAGACTCTTGAATCTAGACTAGAAGCAAGAAAGGAGTTGACAAGAATAAAGAAGACTTTATTCTTGCCTCTATATATACTATCTAACTAAGAGCTACATGGCAATGTTCTATAGAACCTCTAATATGTGTTGACTTTGTAGGACACATGCCTTAGCTTACAACACAAGTTTTCTATGTATACACTACATAGTTAGTTTGTACTTCAAGCTACCAACATGTGTGATACATGGTTAATTTGTTGACCATGTTTGTAATCTAAAAAGTCAATTATAAACACGAATAAAATCAAAGCAACGTCTATGAAGCTTCTATAGAAGATATTATGGAATCAATCTACTTTTACTTCCTTTTATCTAATCATATAAGTAATTATTGATTTATATGTGCATATCCATGGCAACTACTCATGATTAACTTATTAGCCAAATTTTTAACCTACCAATCAACTATAAACATGTATAAAATCAAATATGGATCTATAAATCTACTAAAAAGCTTTTCTATAAGATAATATTAAATCTACCTATATTTACCTTCAACATGGTACTTCTTATTTACATAAATATATATGTCCATGATATAGAATATAATTAGAATCGGCTAAGTGGGATGCTCAATCCATTGAGGATATTGAAAATAACAATTGAGCCATGGTATGTGCCTACCTTAAGGATATGACCTTCAAAGATGCCATTCATAAGTACTTTGATTCCCAAATAGAATTTCATGTTAAATGAGCTCATTGTAATGGCCAATTTCCACAACTTTAAAAAACTGAGGCAAGCTAGCTTCCGTTTTTTTTATTATACAAGCATTGTCAAATCCAATTTCTTTATGATCAAGTAGAAGAATGACAAGTATTGATTACACCTCATGAACTTCTTGCTTGAGAATATACAACATTCTAAATAATTCAACAAAGTTTGTCAAATTTTATAAGGATGGATGTTTTTAGATAGCTCTATAGTGCATTTCATTCTTTTCAAATTCACCAAAAATAAAACCTGGCTATAATCCTAAAATAAGCAAAATTACGCATTTTACGGAGAAGCCCTAGTTTCAAGAGGCCTATCCATCCCATCCATACTAAAGTCCATACTGCACCCACTAACAAGTACAGCAAACTGGTCAAACGAACACCCATCCATCCACCACTTTGGATAATATTAACAATGAAAGCATCCATCCCTCTCACTCATCTACACCTCCACAAATACAAACAAAGAGCTGTCATCCAAACCAAAAAAAATAAAAAAATAAATAACATGATGGAACAAAGAGAGAACACAGTGAGAGTGTGAGTAGAAAAAAAAGGGAGTGGCGGGGGCCACCTCTATAGAACAAATAATAACATAGAACTTCGGAGGGGGAGGGGTGGGTTTGTGGGGCACTGGCGGAGCTTGGATGACGACACAAATACAAAAAGGAAGGGCGGAACCCAGGCAGGTAACCCGGGCGCAGCTGCTACACACGAGCCACAGTTTATCTATTTTGTCTATTTCGTGGAGCTGGCAAGCAAGCAAGCTAGTTAGCTAGCTAAGTAGCAATCTCAGAATCTAGAATGGAGCAGAGCTGAGCAGAGCAGAGCAGAGCAGAGGAGGAGGAGGAGGCGTGGTGCTCTGGTTGTTTGATTGATTGATTGAATCAATGGTGGTCCTCTCTCTCTGTGTCACTGTGACTCCTCCGCAGAGCCCTGGTGCACCCGCGGCTCCCCCGAACACAAAACCCAAGTTCCTACTGCTCCCTCGCCTCCCAGGCCACGCACTCTGCGACTGTGTGTGTGTGTGTGTGAGTGAGTGAGTGAGCTTTGCACAGCGCCCCCAGCCCCTCCGAGCCTTTGCAGCGCCGTTCAAGCTTTGGCGGCGGATTCCAACGCCTTCCACACCGCCACCACGAACTTGCTGTCCAGAACGCCGTTCTCCTCTACGGGCACGAACGTCGCATTCCATGTGGCGGTGGTGGTGCCTGCTGTCGGCCCTGGCGCATATTGCACCACGGCCGTGACGTACTTGAAGCGAGGGTCGCCCTTGAGCACCGTGTAGCCCACCTTCTTCTCTGCGTCGTCGAACACATCCACCTGCTCCACGAGCTCTCCGGCATCAGGGATAGCTGCACACATCCAACATCTCGTACCCTTAGCACATCATCATCATTGTCCCTCTTCGTTTCCATGGCTACGAGACAGACACACCCACACACATTTGGACACAAAATTGGACAGCAATTTTGCTGCCTGTCTGCACACGATTCCCACCTGGGCCCATCTTGCTGATGCGGATGCTGCCCACTTCGCCATTGCCCTTGGCGAATGTGCAGGACTCGAAGAGATGGGGCAGAGCCTTGGGGAGTATGGCATTCTCCTGCTTCACGGCGCTCCAGATGGCGTCGGGCGACGCGTCCAGCGTCTCGGTGTGGGTCGCCGTTTTCTTCGATTGGACGGCCTTCTCGAACGTCTTGAACATCAGGGCGGTGATGTTCTTGACGTGCTCGGGGGGTCCGGCCTCGCCCACGACGTCGTACTTGGAAGTCCAGGTCGCCTTCGTCTGCTTTTCGCCCGTGGATGCGAAGCTCACCACTCCGGTGACGTTAACGTACCTGGGATCACCCTCGACGACTGTGTAGGACAATGTCATGGTGGCGTCGTCGACGGTGTCGAGACGTTCCTTTGCAGCTCCTGCTTGTGGGATGGCTGCACGAGCACGAGATTGCCATGGTCACGTAATCATCATTCACATTCCAGGCGGCTCATGCCATCCGATTAGAGGACCTGCGAATACCGAGTTGCGCTCGCAGTTCGTGCACACAATGTCCATCAAGCAATCTAGAACGAACTCCAGAATGCTCCCGTAGAGACCAGTCGGTTTGTGCCGATCTCCATCGCAGAGCCGAGTACGGACGCAAAAGACGTGGAATCGACACAATCCTGTACCTCGCACGTTCATCGATGGGCTCCGCCCCATCGAAGAAGGGCGGAGCGCATTGATTTATGTGGCCTGTCTGAGTGGGTAGGTCGTGAATGCAACGAATTCAGCATTCTGAGCTCAGCTCTGTACAGGTGCGACACGAATTGTGCTAGAGGAAGGAAGAATCGGGACGTACCAGGGCCAAAGTGCAGGACGCGGAGAGTGCCGGGGCCACCATCGCCCTCCAAGATCTCAGTCTTTGCGAAGAATTCGGGCAGAAGGTCTGGCAACACCTTGTCGGAGTGTTTGCAGCACATCCAGGCATCGGCAGCGTCGACGTTGAGGATCTCGGTGTGGGAAATGATGTGTGCCATCTCGAATTCGAATGCAAGCTGCTGAGAATTGGCCGCAGAAAAATGCGAGTCCGATGCAATCGAATGCTAGAACGAGAGCGTGGCACTGGGAGGGAGGGGATCAATGTGGACTGTGGATTGATGATGAGAAGGGGTGAGAAGCAGGGTATTTGTAATGCAAATCGATCAAGGCAGCTCGATGGATGCACCACAAAGAAAGTCCAAGACCCTCAACAAGACATGGCTTGGGAGAGTAGGAAGGTTCTTTTTTTGTACCGTCAATGTGAATTATTTGTCGGGAATTGTTTTATTTTAAATAAAATTTGTGTTTTATTTTTTGTTCCAGTGCTGGACTATTGTTATGATCGGTGGGTTTATGATCTTGAATTCTCCATAGAAATTCACGTTTTTATTTTATGGATAATACGTGTGAGTCAGAATTTACTATGTACTGTTTTCCGCAGAATTTGCAGGCATTGTTGATTGTGTCAGATTGAACGGTTGTGGATTAAATTTTTTTCCTACTTTTGTTCTAAAATGTATGTATTGCAGCCAATGACATGAGTGCTGACGTGTAATGACAGCTTGCTGTGATTTCAGTTTTGTTCAATTGCAAGTCTGCTGCTCAGGAGCTCCTTGTTCTGAGCCCACTTGACACTGCGTCCGTCAATGAGAAGACTCATTGACTTTGTATCCTACTCAGATAGTTGAAATAGATGAATAAATCCAGTTATGTCGAAATCATATTTACCCACGTGGGCACTACATTCGAGATCTTGTCAGCAACACCAAACGTTCAATCTTTTCAGACTGGATAGTTTGGTTGACGAACGGAATGATGAATAGAAGCTTCCCCTGGGCGCTGCATTTACACCAAACTGTTTCACGGCATTGCAGACTGGAGGTAGGAAAATATGTGAAGGAATGAGAAATCGACTATTAGCTTTCTATGAATGGACAAGTGGGCAATAGTCTTCATTTGGATTTCAACAATAGTTAAAATCATTCCGGATTGACCTATTGTTAAAGACCTGTGACACTAAATTAACAATGGCCTTGTATATCTGTTCCTTTATGTTCTTTTCCGGTCTGAAGAGGTCATTACGAGAAGTTACATCAACAAAAGCTACCATCGATTTTAGGTTCTCGGGACTAGACAGAAATGATTTTTGGACATTGAAAAAACTGCTCCAGCAAGTAGCAGAACTTGCACAGTAAAGTGGGAACGTCAATCAGAGAGGAATCCAACAATCCGTTCAGGATATTCCAGAAAGATTGGAGAGGGCCTAGAGTCAGAGTAGGTGTTGAGTCAAAGATGACATGCTCCTATGCTAAGGTATGTATTTCAACCATGTACTAGAAATTGCAGCTGCTTGCGATTGACTACAAGATATCACACAAACTCAAGGGAAAGCTGGAATAATTATTCCATGTTTGATAATAATAAAAATAAAAATAAATCTGTACATCGTACCAATATATTCTCTAAAGCGGATGTTTTGTGAAAACCTTGTGCTGTGAGAGTAGGGAAATGGAACTTGCTCAAAGTGACGTCCCAGCAGGACGACGAGAAAATCAAAATCTAGACAAAAATTCTAATTTTGGAATGTAAAAAATGAACAACGCGCAAGACACAAACAACCAGGACTGGTAGGTCCAAACATGTTCTTAGTGTGGGAATTTGACTTATTGAGGGTCTTGGACTTTCTTTGTGGTGCATCCATCGAGCTGCCTTGATCGATTTGCATTACAAATACCCTGCTTCTCACCCCTTCTCATCATCAATCCACAGTCCACATTGATCCCCTCCCTCCCAGTGCCACGCTCTCGTTCTAGCATTCGATTGCATCGGACTCGCATTTTTCTGCGGCCAATTCTCAGCAGCTTGCATTCGAATTCGAGATGGCACACATCATTTCCCACACCGAGATCCTCAACGTCGACGCTGCCGATGCCTGGATGTGCTGCAAACACTCCGACAAGGTGTTGCCAGACCTTCTGCCCGAATTCTTCGCAAAGACTGAGATCTTGGAGGGCGATGGTGGCCCCGGCACTCTCCGCGTCCTGCACTTTGGCCCTGGTACGTCCCGATTCTTCCTTCCTCTAGCACAATTCGTGTCGCACCTGTACAGAGCTGAGCTCAGAATGCTGAATTCGTTGCATTCACGACCTACCCACTCAGACAGGCCACATAAATCAATGCGCTCCGCCCTTCTTCGATGGGGCGGAGCCCATCGATGAACGTGCGAGGTACAGGATTGTGTCGATTCCACGTCTTTTGCGTCCGTACTCGGCTCTGCGATGGAGATCGGCACAAACCGACTGGTCTCTACGGGAGCATTCTGGAGTTCGTTCTAGATTGCTTGATGGACATTGTGTGCACGAACTGCGAGCGCAACTCGGTATTCGCAGGTCCTCTAATCGGATGGCATGAGCCGCCTGGAATGTGAATGATGATTACGTGACCATGGCAATCTCGTGCTCGTGCAGCCATCCCACAAGCAGGAGCTGCAAAGGAACGTCTCGACACCGTCGACGACGCCACCATGACATTGTCCTACACAGTCGTCGAGGGTGATCCCAGGTACGTTAACGTCACCGGAGTGGTGAGCTTCGCATCCACGGGCGAAAAGCAGACGAAGGCGACCTGGACTTCCAAGTACGACGTCGTGGGCGAGGCCGGACCCCCCGAGCACGTCAAGAACATCACCGCCCTGATGTTCAAGACGTTCGAGAAGGCCGTCCAATCGAAGAAAACGGCGACCCACACCGAGACGCTGGACGCGTCGCCCGACGCCATCTGGAGCGCCGTGAAGCAGGAGAATGCCATACTCCCCAAGGCTCTGCCCCATCTCTTCGAGTCCTGCACATTCGCCAAGGGCAATGGCGAAGTGGGCAGCATCCGCATCAGCAAGATGGGCCCAGGTGGGAATCGTGTGCAGACAGGCAGCAAAATTGCTGTCCAATTTTGTGTCCAAATGTGTGTGGGTGTGTCTGTCTCGTAGCCATGGAAACGAAGAGGGACAATGATGATGATGTGCTAAGGGTACGAGATGTTGGATGTGTGCAGCTATCCCTGATGCCGGAGAGCTCGTGGAGCAGGTGGATGTGTTCGACGACGCAGAGAAGAAGGTGGGCTACACGGTGCTCAAGGGCGACCCTCGCTTCAAGTACGTCACGGCCGTGGTGCAATATGCGCCAGGGCCGACAGCAGGCACCACCACCGCCACATGGAATGCGACGTTCGTGCCCGTAGAGGAGAACGGCGTTCTGGACAGCAAGTTCGTGGTGGCGGTGTGGAAGGCGTTGGAATCCGCCGCCAAAGCTTGAACGGCGCTGCAAAGGCTCGGAGGGGCTGGGGGCGCTGTGCAAAGCTCACTCACTCACTCACACACACACACACACAGTCGCAGAGTGCGTGGCCTGGGAGGCGAGGGAGCAGTAGGAACTTGGGTTTTGTGTTCGGGGGAGCCGCGGGTGCACCAGGGCTCTGCGGAGGAGTCACAGTGACACAGAGAGAGAGGACCACCATTGATTCAATCAATCAATCAAACAACCAGAGCACCACGCCTCCTCCTCCTCCTCTGCTCTGCTCTGCTCTGCTCAGCTCTGCTCCATTCTAGATTCTGAGATTGCTACTTAGCTAGCTAACTAGCTTGCTTGCTTGCCAGCTCCACGAAATAGACAAAATAGATAAACTGTGGCTCGTGTGTAGCAGCTGCGCCCGGGTTACCTGCCTGGGTTCCGCCCTTCCTTTTTGTATTTGTGTCGTCATCCAAGCTCCGCCAGTGCCCCACAAACCCACCCCTCCCCCTCCGAAGTTCTATGTTATTATTTGTTCTATAGAGGTGGCCCCCGCCACTCCCTTTTTTTTCTACTCACACTCTCACTGTGTTCTCTCTTTGTTCCATCATGTTATTTATTTTTTTATTTTTTTTGGTTTGGATGACAGCTCTTTGTTTGTATTTGTGGAGGTGTAGATGAGTGAGAGGGATGGATGCTTTCATTGTTAATATTATCCAAAGTGGTGGATGGATGGGTGTTCGTTTGACCAGTTTGCTGTACTTGTTAGTGGGTGCAGTATGGACTTTAGTATGGATGGGATGGATAGGCCTCTTGAAACTAGGGCTTCTCCGTAAAATGCGTAATTTTGCTTATTTTAGGATTATAGCCAGGTTTTATTTTTGGTGAATTTGAAAAGAATGAAATGCACTATAGAGCTATCTAAAAACATCCATCCTTATAAAATTTGACAAACTTTGTTGAATTATTTAGAATGTTGTATATTCTCAAGCAAGAAGTTCATGAGGTGTAATCAATACTTGTCATTCTTCTACTTGATCATAAAGAAATTGGATTTGACAATGCTTGTATAATAAAAAAAACGGAAGCTAGCTTGCCTCAGTTTTTTAAAGTTGTGGAAATTGGCCATTACAATGAGCTCATTTAACATGAAATTCTATTTGGGAATCAAAGTACTTATGAATGGCATCTTTGAAGGTCATATCCTTAAGGTAGGCACATACCATGGCTCAATTGTTATTTTCAATATCCTCAATGGATTGAGCATCCCACTTAGCCGATTCTAATTATATTCTATATCATGGACATATATATTTATGTAAATAAGAAGTACCATGTTGAAGGTAAATATAGGTAGATTTAATATTATCTTATAGAAAAGCTTTTTAGTAGATTTATAGATCCATATTTGATTTTATACATGTTTATAGTTGATTGGTAGGTTAAAAATTTGGCTAATAAGTTAATCATGAGTAGTTGCCATGGATATGCACATATAAATCAATAATTACTTATATGATTAGATAAAAGGAAGTAAAAGTAGATTGATTCCATAATATCTTCTATAGAAGCTTCATAGACGTTGCTTTGATTTTATTCGTGTTTATAATTGACTTTTTAGATTACAAACATGGTCAACAAATTAACCATGTATCACACATGTTGGTAGCTTGAAGTACAAACTAACTATGTAGTGTATACATAGAAAACTTGTGTTGTAAGCTAAGGCATGTGTCCTACAAAGTCAACACATATTAGAGGTTCTATAGAACATTGCCATGTAGCTCTTAGTTAGATAGTATATATAGAGGCAAGAATAAAGTCTTCTTTATTCTTGTCAACTCCTTTCTTGCTTCTAGTCTAGATTCAAGAGTCTCTAGTTTTCTTGTCTTTTGGCAATATCTATTTTAGTTTCTTTTTAATATACATATTAT